GGAGGGGAGGGGAGAGGAGAGGAAAGGAAATACTGGGGAGGGGAAGGGAGGAGAGAGTAGCTGTTCTCTTATTATTCCAGTTTAATCAGCCATAACCTGTCATGTTTGCTGGTTGTTTTTTAATCACGGGATTCTTATAAAGTCATCTCCATTTATAAGAATCTCCATTCTTATAAAGTCATCTCTTCTTTTGTCTGTGGGGCAAAAGAAGAGCTGCCATAGGAACTGGGAAGCTCCTGGGATGGCCAGAACGGAAGAAATTGGTCAAAAGTCCAGGTCCAGCTGAACAGGAAACAGAAATAACTCTGCTACATCATGACACATCAAAATTGGAGAGTCATGGCCCATGTACAGGGTCAAGTACAAGGTGCATTTGTCGCTACCTCGCCACCCCTTTGCAACTTTGGAAGTGGGTGATCTCCCACAACCTGGCCTTGAACCAGTACAGTTCCTAGTACAACATTTCCTAGCTGGCTCACAACCTACCATCCAGCATCTCAACTAACATGTTTTTATATTCATGTCTCAATTTCTAGCTACAATTTTGTCCTATCCGGAAGGTATTTCCTTAATTCTCCTGCAGTGCCTTTACTGAATAAGATCTCCTGGCAAGTCTCCTGCAGCTTTGAGGTAGCAATTTGGAAGGTGAAGCAACTGGATATTATCCCTTTAAAATATCATTCAATTAGGTCTTTTGTAATACATACAACGTAACGAGATAGCCTTACCGATTCTAAAGAAATTGCCAGTGCATTTCATCAAAGGCACAATAATGAAAACATCGATTCAATCCTCACCACAAACATCTCCCTTTGATGCTGCAGTTACCTTAATACTAACACTTTTCATTTTCTCTAGAAGAAACCAGCTGCCTCAATGCATGCACATCACAGAAGGCTCCAGTCTGAAATAAGACATTTGTATATCAATCTCAACACCCTTGCCTCTTCATCCGCTGCTGCATAGCATCACTGTCCTTGACTCTAAACCAATAAATTATTCCAAAATAAAGAAAAACTCTTCTGCACCCTGGATGACTGAGACTACATGTTTTATGCCAGCTCTGCAAATGTTGCCAGGGGCATCATCTGCCTCCTCACACCATTTATTTAAAAGAATGGCAGGGTACCAGTTAGAAACTTTATGGGCCTGAAGAACATCCAGCCACTTTATGCAAAAGATGTCAACAAGAAAGAGTACCTAAGGAATAATACATCCAGAAATGTGCAGCGTGATTAGGAAAATCCATCAACACCCACTGCCACATTTCCAAATATTTTTACTAAGTGAAAAAGCAGCCACCAAGCCTGAAAGTATTTTGAACACATTATATCCACAAGAGTACTTCCTGAGCAATGGCCCAGATGTTCACAGCGCTATGGAGATGGAGTTAAAGGATATTCCTTCTAGATACACACAAGGCACACTGCATTTGGTTTATTAATCTTTTGGCATGAGAGGTCTAATCTAGTTTGTCTTTGTATAAATAAAAACATAGTTTCGGATTTCTGAGCATCATCTAGATAAATTACTATTCAGCCTTTAACAAAGCCAAATAAATTATTATTTTTTCAATACAGCTTCGAAATTCCTAGCAACACTAAGCATCTAAACTCACAGACTACCTGACATTTGGCTAAGTCTTTCATACAATATCCACTTGATGCCATGAAAGAAATGTATTTGCAGTGGCTTTTGCTCTGCAAATGTCATATGGGTGTCCTTAGGGGATTGCATTAAGCACCTGGAACCCACCATGAGGCTCCATTAATGAGACATATAAAGGTTATGTTGAAATTATTGTTTAAAGGTGCTGACATCTCTCTCTCCCTCTCTCACACACACACACTCATATTTACAATCCCATATTTAAATATATACAGAGAAGCAACTGTTTCAGGATTTAAGAGAGAACAGAAAAAGCTATTTCAGTTAAGGTTAATCTGTAGATATCTCTCCGCTAGACAGTGCTGATAATTATCTATTTTCTTTCACTGATTGATTTCACAACATTATTACATAACAGTTTGTCATCAAGCATTGTACCTAGGTTCTGTACTAAGGCAATACAAAGAAGCATAGTCTAAAGTCTCTTAAGTGTAAGTTGATCAGTTACAGCGGGCTCATTACCATAGCATTTATGCATTCATCCACTAATTTGTTCACCTCACAAAAATTACTGAGCACTTATTAAGTACCAGGCACTGTGTCAGCACTGGTGTTAAATCGGAGAGTAAAACCAAACCTGGCCCTGCCCTCCTGGAGCTTATAGTCTAGTGAGGAATATAGATAATCCTAATATCACATAAATCAATGTAAAATTTCAACAGTGACAGGCATTCTGAAGGGGGGTATACAGCATTATGGTAAACAACACCAAGGAGCATTTAACTTTGTCAGGGAGTTTAGGGAAGAGGTCCTGAGAAAGTGATGCTAGAACTGAGATCTGACAGTGACAAAGTTGATTTCGGGGAAAAAGATTCCAGGCCCAGGAAATGGAGCCAGGGAAACAGCTGGGGTGACAAACTGAAAGAAAGCCATTCAAGGGAAAGTGATAACCTTGAGTCAAGACAGAGGAGGGACCAGCTAAGGAAATCTTAACAGATCCTACAAAGGACTTCGGTCTTTTTTCTGTGAGCAATGAGGAAATGATGAAATCCTAAGATCTACATTTGGAAAATAGGTTGTTCAGGTTATAGTGTAAACACACTGGAAGAGGCTCTGGTCACAGCTCAAATGACAGATATAACCCATGTTTGAGTGGTGGTGGTAATCGAAGGGTCCATGGAATTAAGAGATAGAGATAAGAATGACAGATTACAGACACCAGGTTTGCAACAAGGAAGTATGAAGGATAACTCCCAGGTTTCTACCTTTTGCCAACAAATGGATACAATCAGGGAACACTGGAAGAGAATCAGCTATGTTGGAGGGAGAGCAAAGTTCATTTTTGGAATATGTTGAATCAAGAGGCATCCGAGACACATGAGAGTCAAGGTCAAGTACACACATGGGTAAATGGATCTTGAGCTCGAAGAGGAGGATTTATCGAGTCATTATATCTTGAAGGTACTTATAGAAAACAACAAAATGGACATGTTTGGGACTTCCCTTCCTTTGCTAAACTACAAGCAATGGTATATTCACATTTTACCAAATCAACACCACATGGTATGCTGGAATATGCCCTAGACTCGGAATCTGACAATACGCATTTGAGCTCCGGCTCTTCCAATGACTAGCTCGGCAGGCTTGAACAAACACCTCAGCCCTTCTGCACCTTTGTTTACTATAGTCACTAGCAAATTATTATGAATACACATTCCCTACTTACTTCACAGGGTTGTTTTAAAGGTCAAATGAGTAAAATTATAGAGAAAATCATCTTCAGCCTATGAAATGATAAACAGCACTGCCAATACGTGAAATGCACCTGCCTGCATATTTTGATACTGAAGAGTAGAAAAGAAAGTTCGTTGCTGCAGACAAAATCAACCCAGATGGATGATGAAATGTCATTGAATCCCTTCCAAAATTTGGACTGAGTAAACAAGCGTTTTTCCCCAGGTGGTACCTGGGTGACAAGATGCAAATAAAAACAGTGTTTGTTCACCTTTTGATCCAGACTGTAGGCCAGCACCCAGTCTTCCTGCTTGGGATGGAAGAGCAGACTCTGGATGTAGAAGGTGAGCCGGTACTTCTGATAGGTGGCCCCCTCATCTGAGCTGATCAGTAAGCTGCTCTCCATTTCAGGATCACTAAGAAGCATGATCTAAAGGAGAGGGGAGAAAATACTGACAGAGTTAGCATAAGAGAACTACTACAAGAAATTAAAGCATAAATATAAAGTCATCTGTACTTGCATATCACAGCACAGGAAGGGGCACGTGGGTCTCTCTATGAAATATTGGCATTTCCCCCCTGATTTAGTCCTTCATTGCTGAAGGGAGCTGGAATATTGTGCATGGTTAGGTCTGCATACAAATGAGGCTTTGTTTTGTGATGTCCATCTTATAAGTACTTTCATTTTTGATGTCCAGCCTTTAAGTAGTGGGAGCATATTCTTATGGCCCTCTGTCCCCTGACCTTGAGACCGTCACAAATTTCTCTCCCTCCCTCAATTCCTGTCATTCTTCATCACGCTATTGTTCCTACTGCCCTTTAATCATGAAAAGGATCCCCTTATTATCCCACTGTTTGTTTTGTTCTTTCTGAATGAATTGTTTCAGTGATTTAATTGACTTAAGTGGTCTCAATGATCCCTTTGTTTTCGAGATTTTCCAAAGCACCTATCCCCAAAGGCCCCTGGGGCAAAGACTGCTGCTCAGGAAAGTGTGTCTTCCCCAAGCCAGATGGACAGAATGGTATAGACTAAAAACACTTTGGCATCAGAAGGAGCAGATTCAAACTCAACACTTCTCTGTTCACAATGGGTCACTTGGAAACCTACTTAACTCTAGAGGCCTCAGTTGCCACAACAATAATTGAGTATCACAAGAAGCCAAAATGGCCTTGAACACATAGTCTTGACAAGGGATAGCTATAATTATTATTTATCTTCCAGTATGTATGTAAAAGCTCCCTCCAATCAGTGCACTTTGACTTCTACTTACAGTACCTCAGTGACATTGGCCTCACTGCACGTGTGACTGACTTTCCAGTATTTAATCCAACAGACATTTAGACACTCAGACCTTTCCCATCATGGAACTCCTAACAGTCTTTGATACCACCGCAATTCCATCCTCCCTGAAGCGTTCTCTTCCAGGGCTTCCGTAACATCACACTCATCTAGCCTTCCTTTTCATCTCTTTTGAGTACTCAACTTTCTCTGATCTCTATAATATGACCACTCCTTGGGGCGCCTGGGTGGCTTAGTTGGTTGAGCCTCTGACTTTGGCTCAGCTCATGATCTCACAGTTCATGAGTTCGGGCCCCTCATTGGGCTCTGTTGCTGACAGCTCAGAGCCTGGAGCCTGCTTCGGATTCTGTCTCCCTCTCTCTCTGCTTCTCCCCTGCTCACACTCCCTTTCTCTCTGTCAGAAATGAATAAACGTTAAAAAAAAATTTATAATATGACCACTCCTCAACCCTCAGTTGAGGGTTTTTATTCAACACACCGTTCCTCAGGGACTTCTTCCAAGCTTTTTTTTTTTTTTTTTTTTTTTTTTTTTTTTTTTTTTTTATTATTGCTATCTTTCTGGGGACAACTCATAAATTAAATCTCAACCTGAGGTCTCCTTTCATCTCAGCCTCAGCTTCCTGGCAGATTGTTCTATCTGAAGGTCCACAAACACCTCAAATTCAACATTCCTCACACTGTACCTCCTCCCAGCCCTACCCATCTCCCACTGTGTCCTGACTCAGTTACTGTTTCTACCAATGATTCAGTATAAAGCCAAAAACCCAAGATTCAGCCTTGACTCTGCTTTTCTACTCACCTCCTAACATTAACTTGTGTTTGAGCCCTGTATATTTTACCTACTAATTAACTCTAAAATCAGATCTAGTCTCTCTCTCTCTCTTTGCCCATTATAACAGCCTTAGCCCAAAATGTGATAATTTCTGCACTGCATCACTGTAAGACCTTCTAGACAACCTCACTGATGTCACATAGACCTTTCCACCCCCACCCCCCCACCAGCAATCTACTTTGTACACTGTGACCCCAATAATTGTACTATATAAAACTTATTTGATTCTGACATTCCCCTACTTAAAACCATTCGATGAACTTATCACTGATCTTCCCATATATCCTAAAATCTTTAAAATAGCCTGACAAACTCTCCCCTGCTTATGTCTCTGGCTTCAGCAGCAGCAGCATAGCCCTTTTGACCTTTATTATCCAGCTACACCTAGCTTCTTTGAGTTCCTAATGTTTGCTGAGTGACTGAATGAGCAAACGGGTTTATTTCCTCTTACAGATTTTCCTGCCTTTGGCTATAGTTTCACCAGTTGTTGGGGCTACCTCTTACCACGGTCTGAACCACAGGGCCCAGAGTACAAAATAAAGCCAAAACCCGTATCCATACCTCATCAAATAAAACTATTAATGGCAGGATTTTTTAAATGCTACTTATAGTACATATCACTATTACAAAGTAAGCTTTAAAATAGATTCAATCCCTTCAGCTGCTAAGATTCATAGTCCTTTTCCTCTTTTATTCTTTTACAGCTTCCAAGACAAGCTTACTTTCTTTTCCCCAAATATTTGCTTTGGTTTCATTGAAATAAGTTATTACTAGTTATCAGCAAATTTTTAGGGAATGGATGCTGTATAATATTTTTTCCATTCTTATATGAATAATCCAGGGGAAATGATCTGAGATGGGTTTTTCATAGACAGAAGAGAGTCTCTGCCCTTGGGGCTATGAAGGGGGAGGGGCAACTGAGAAAAGCACCCCTCCGCTGCCCTTGAGGAAACCTCAGAGGACATATCTATCCTCCTCACAAAGTCTAAGAGGACAAACACTGAGGAAGAATGAGGCTTTCATCCCAGCCCTGCCCTGCTCCCACCATGTGCTGACGGGCTACATAACAGGCAATGAAATCATTTTTCCCCTGGTGCAGAGAAATTAAACTGCTTATTTTATGCAGGTATAAAGAAGCTTCATGCCTATGATTTTAATTAGAAGATAAGACCAACATCATAAATGGACTTTATTTTATATACCATGAGTTACTATGTACTGAATAATGGTTACCATCAAATATCTAGTGCAATGTATTCTCTTCCCCTAGCAGTTTCCTTCTGGGCACATGTGCGCGCGCACACACACACACACACACACACACACACATCAACACGCATCCACACACAAATGCTGCATATGTGTGCACACATACCTGTTCACACATACATCAATGCTACATATGTATGGGCACACACACATACACACATGCACACACACATCAACCCATACACAAATGCTGCATGTATGTGTGCACATACACACTCACACATACATCAATGCTGCATATATAGGTGCACACACATGTACACATACACACACATTAATCCGTAAACGCTGCATATATATGTACACATACACCCTCACACATACATTGATGCTGCATACATGGATGCACACACATGCACTAATGAATTCATATATAAGGCATATTGACACTGTGTGGTGGTCTTAGAGAGCTTTTACTGGCAGGCGTACATTTTTATTGCAACCTTTCTCTGACATTCTCATCAGAATCGCTTTCATATACTTTGATATCACTGCCAGTGTCTGTATTCAGTCCTAGCCTCTGAGAAGAATGAGATGAAGGGAAACAGAGCTCTGTATGTTCTGGATTTCAAGTCTGCACTGGCCACACTACCAGATACTTTATCAAAATCTCACACAAATCAAGTGACAAAAGTATCATCAGTTGCATTGATAAGGAAACAGAGCCTCAGAGGAGGAAAGCAACTTTCCCACTGCCTCCTCTGATCGGCTCAAATGCCACCACCTGCACCCAATACTAACACGTTCCTGGACCTTGAAACCACAGCAAGTTAGTATCTTTATCAGCGGAAGAGCAGAAGTCAGAGGAGCAAGTCTTCATTCATCCTTTTCTTAAGCATCTCTACGAAAGTCACCAAAACAAACAAACAAACAATGTAGCTTCAAGAAAGCCCTTTTCTTCCTGTGACTCATATCCACCTCTGGCCAAGAAGCCAAGAAGAATTAAATGAGTAGAAATACAAAGAGGAAATATATGTCAGTGCAGAGGAGGCGGAGGAGGAGGAGGAGGAGAAAAAGAAGGGAAAGAGGAAGAAGAAGAGGAAGAAGAAGAAGAAAAAGGAGACCATAATAGTAACATAAATATAACGTGAGAGCAAATACCTTGCCAGAAGTTGTCTCAAGGTAAAATATGGGTATTGTATATTAATATATGACATATGTAAAGAAAATCATCCCATATCCACCCAAATTTTGACTGCTAAGCAAGGATTTCAAATGCAAATGCATAAGAGGGCAAAATCAGGTAAAATAAGTGAGTGAAGCAAAAAAAGCAAGACAAGGAGTGGTGTGGAATGTGCCAACTTGGAAGGTGCATACGTTTTCTTAAAATATTTAGAGTTTTAAAAAAATGTACCCAAATTAAATATGTCTGCAGTCTGAATTTCTGAACTAGGCATGTGATTCTTGGCCAAGTTACAATACTACTGAAATCAAGAAATGTAAAACCCTTGCCCCTTAATTTTTAATTACATGTATAGAGGTATAAAAATCAATGTCTGTGAGCTCTGCATTTGTGAGATTTTGACAATATGAGCAGAGAAGAGCTTCCCTTGGAGATTTTTGTTTTGCTTTATTTTGCTTTTGCTTCCTTTTTGCTTTGATTTTTTATCCAGCTTGTCCTAACATAAGATCTGCAGTGGGTGTATGTGTGTACTGGAAGGGGAAAAGGGTATTTCAACTATGGTTTAGCAGAGTTATTAATAGTATAGGCTCTGGGGACAGGTGGTTTGAGTTCAGATTCTCATTCTACTACTTTGCATGTAAACATGAGGATATTACTCAATTTTTTCAAGTCTTTACCTCATCTGTTAACAGGAGATAGGGGCACCTATGCAGCTCAGTCAGTTAAGCATCAGACTCTTGACTTTAGCTCATGATTTCGCGGTTGTGGGATCGAGTCCCACTTTGGGCTCCACGCTCGGTGTGGAGCCTACTTGAGATTCTCTCTTGCTGCTCTAAATAAATACATTGCTCTCTAAATGAATAAATAAATAAATAAATAAATAAATAAATAAATAAATAAATTCTT